CTAAAAATTGATTTTTTCAGGTCTGATTGTACTTCGCGGTTTTCTGCTCTACGTTTCATCCGTTTGAGGCGCGGCTTGTCTAAGGCGATAAAACATGTTTTGCTCTACAAAATAGACTATTTGTAATATTTTCTCGATGCATTTGTTATGAGAAATTTTCGCAGAGGCAAGGAAAGTCGAAGGAAAACAGTATAAAAATTTAGCGATCAAATCTCACTTCTGCTCAGCAATGTCTTACTAAACCAAGAGATTCCAAGCTGAATTTTTTATATGTTGTAGCCCTGCTCGTGGCGCATCTTTTGGTATGTTTCTTTTTAATAAATCTCTCGACCCGCTTATAAAGTTCTTCGCCACAAAAGTTTGAATGTTTCATTATTTTCCTCTCCTACCGTGAAATAACTGAGTTATCTCAAGAGTGAATGAAAAGTGTAATTATTTGGATAGTTTTTAGTTTTCTACTCAAAAGGACAACATGATAAGCGACGATTTGTGACACATTTGATGGGCCGCTAAACGGGTCAGCGTTGGGCAGGGTTACCCGAAGTTCGCCAATAAGACTTTCGCCAACTGGATGTTCGCCAATGGCGAAAGTCCACTGTACTCTCGCCAACATATATCATGTATTTTCGCCAGCTACAATATGACTTACACTCATGACGAAGATTTTCAACAATAAGTTTATTTAGTGATATTCCATTATGTTGTAATCCTTTTTTAAAAACCATTTTAGATAATCATTGACAAATGCCGGTTACAACACGTGCTGCTGCTTTGAAATCTGGGACTAAGAAGGACAATATGGCTTCAGCTAGAGTTTCCATTAAGAAAAAAGGACGATCACGGTCACAGAAACAACAACAAACAAAAACGCAGGAAGATCCACTACCGACGACTCTTGTTGCGTCTGAAGTACGTCCTGTCGTGGAGCAACAATCAACAGATCAAATGGTTCTTCATCTTGACGACGACAACAGCAAGAAGAATGATGAGATGGATATAT